TACCACCTTCACTAGCTTTGTTGTGAGGAACTTGCAATCTAAACATTGATGCTGCCGATTGCTTTTTTGGCCGTTCTTATCACGATTAACCCACACACCATCTCTGCATTTGACGCTAACTTTGACAACGAATGCACTTGACAACTAGAGACGCCAGAATAATTATTCCGTGAGGACGGAGGTAATGTGCATGTAGCAAAAGAAACTACAACACGGGCGTCAATACTGATCAGCAAAGGCTAGTGCGTGCAATTTTTCTGCTCTGGCACCGTCAGAATCATTTCAAAACTGAATGTGTGTTGACCAAATAAAAGTTTTGCCTTTATTGGTACCTCGCCATTGTTAGCTGGTCGATGTGATGCTCCAGACGGCCTTGCGTTTTGTGCACTCCCTATGAGGCGCTTTATGGTCGTACTTGATAGTCTTTTCTGACCGCGTTCAGGACATTCTAATTAAGGAACCAGTGCAGTTGTTGAGTTTATTAATTTGGGCGGGTTGTGTGCAAGTTGCACTCGCTCACTGACTCAAATCTGTTGACTTCAGACCTGTGGGTGCGGATAGTTGAAACCGACGGTATCTGTCCTCAGCATCTAAACATTTGCGTTAATGGATTCATTCAGTCGTGCCAATTAAATTTTACACGCTATGACGGCCTATTTGTGCTCTTGAACCGACGATTTTTCGTACAGTGTCCTCACTCTACTGGAAGACTTGACACCTTCCCCACCCCTCTACTCCAAATTACCCCCTTTGAACACTGTCTGAAGTGAACAAGCATCAACAACTAATCCTACGTGTCGTAACCGAAACTGCATCAGCAGCATGTTTAGTAGTACTCTTGTGACTTGAAGTGTTTACATAAACAAGTTTGATCAGCACGCAGACACAAGGCTCTCGATCACACGACTTTCGCCCACGCAAATTGTGTATGTACGTCCGAGAGTGCTTGCGTAGGCTTGCATGAAGTGCAGAGGTTTGACTCAACGCATGATTACCACGCGTATGCACACATTGTTCGTAACAATGAACTCGACAACTGCATTAAGCCCTTTGTTAGAATTTCTGGAACGCGATGGCACGTGCAGTATCGGTTTAGAGAGCGTGACCAGCAAGCTCCGTTCTGGAGCATTTTCGTTGTTTATGAAACCCAACACTGCCCAACTTGTGCACCCGCCGACATACGGGCGTAAACAGTGAGGTGGAAAAACGCCAAGCAGGCACAACGTGATGCCTATAAAGGGCGTCGTAAGATGTGCACATAGCATGTTCTCGAAGTCATCACTAGTCGGGGCCTCTCTTGCAATGCATTCCGTATCTACGATTTTGGGGCTTCTTCTCTTCCTCAACCTCACATCTCACACCACTCTTAGCGTCGTTGTGATGGATGACAAGATAGCCTCTAGCGCAGAGGAGGACGTGGAAGCAGTCGAGGATGTGGACGAAAGCGAGGTTATCGATGAAGGCGATGCGATGGATGTTGTCCTCATGCCGGTCAAATGGCGTCGCATTTCGAAGCCTAGTTGCGAATATCGTAAGCATCGGCCCACAAAGATAAGGCCTCTACCACCCCCAACTCACAGTCATCGTAGAAGACCGCGTTCGCCTGCCTGATTGCGAGCCACTGCAATCTACGAGGTTTCACCATCTGCCCCTCTCGATCATTGCATACATAGGCCTCAATTTGTTCATCTGTTTTGATATTGACCTGTTCTGAGTACACACGTGAGTGATGCCTTTGAAGTAAGCGATTAGGATCTTAATAAAGCGTAAAACGGAGAGCTTGAAGTCTGCATTCGCCTTCCACCCATGTTCTCCACACTAGTCGAGTTGGCAAAACAATTGGAGGACACATGCTCTCCAACACGTATAATATGGGGCCAAGAACTTACAAACGATTTTGTTGTGTCATTTAGTTGCCATCACAGAGAGGTCGGGGTATCGTGCACTAAGGTGTTACTTGAGAAGTAGCTGTTTAATAATAGTGGCAGTAAAATTGGCTTGTAAAACATGTAAGACTAACGCCATTCCTGGTAATTGCGGTGGGAAACAGGTGTGTTGTCAAGCAGAAAGCAAGCATTCCTAGTCTACTTCATGCGAATTGGGCTTTGGAGGGAGTATTTTGCATAGGTACAGCTATCAAGCCTTCCTCCCACCTA